TGCAAACTATGCATCTGACAAAGGATTAATATCCAGAATACACAAGGAACTCAATAGTAAAAAACCAAATAACCCAGTTAAAGAATGGGCAAAGGAGCTAATAGGCATTTCTCAAAGGAAGATATATAAATGGCTAACAGACATGAAAAGATGCTCAACATCATTCAGCATCAGGGAATGCAAATCAAACCCACATTGACATATCATCTCACCCCAGTTAGACTGGCTATTATCAAAAAGACAGAGAATAACAAATGCTAACAAGGATGCAGAGAAAGGAGAACCCTCCTACACTGTTGGTGGGACTGTAAATTGGTCCAACCTTTATGGAAAACAGTGTGGAGGTTCCTCAAATAACTACAGATAGAACTGACATATGATCCAGCAATTCCACAGCAGGATATATACCCGAAGGAATGGAAATCATCATGTTGAAGGGATACCTGCACCCCCATGTTTACTGCAGCTCTGTTTACAATAGCCAAGAGCTGGAACCAACCTAAATGTCCATCATTGGACAACTGGATAAGGAAAATGTGGTATATATACACAATGGAATACTACTCTGCTATAAAAAGAATGAAATATGGCCATTCACAGCAACATGGATGAACTCAAGAGAAAATCATGCTAAGTGAAATAAGCCAGGCACAGATAGAGAAATACCAAATACTCTCACTCAAAAGTGGAAGCTAAAAAATAAACAAATTAAAAAAAAAAGAGAAAGATACAACAATCACAATAATATGTTGAGTTTTCAAAAGGAGAGAACAGAACTAAGGTTACCAGAGGTGAGAAAGGGGGAGGGGAGGGAGCATAAGGGAGGAACTGGTAAAGGGCCATGAAAAACGATTACTTTGTATAAAGTTGAATATACTTATTATCCTGATTTGAGCATCACACATTGCACACAGGTAATGATATTCAACTCTGTACCCCACAGAAATGTACAATCAACTATGTTACAATAAAATAAATAAATAAAATCCAAAAACACAAAAACAAAAAAAAGTGTATAACCTAGAGAAAAAAACAAAAGTAAAATCTTTTTGGAAAACAGTAGTTGACTTATTAAAAGAAAACTGTTATAATCTAAATAAGTAGACAAGAAATTATAACTGTCGCATTAAGATACTGATTAGTTAGCTAAAGTTAGCTAAAGCAGATATTTTAAATAGCTACAAATCATTACATGCAAATGAAGTCATAAAATAAATGTATTATTCCAAAAGTCAAGTAAACACATAAAACTTCCAAGTGTTAAGAGTAAAACATAATAGATTCAACTGGCAAACATTTATTAAATGTTTATTTTCCCCATTATTATATAAAATTTAAGGGCATGTAAAATTTAAATATAATTAGTGACTTTTGTCTTGAAGTGGTTTACAATCTTTCTGGAAAGACCAGACATAAAATGTAAAATTTTGTAACACTGTTCAAGATAGGTTTAGATGGAGAATAAATTCAAGATTAGCTACTAATCTAAGTTTTAATGATTAGGGCCAGAAAAAGGAAATTACAGTAAAAATAAAGAGCAAATAGGCATATTAAAGAATAGTTAATAAGACATA